CGCATCGCCCCCCCACCCCCACCACTTTCTTCGTAACACGCGAATTCATATCACGTCGTCGTAAATACTTGCCAGTGAAACGACTGCCCCACGGTTTATTATGAATTGACGCAGCCCGATGGCTCCCCGCGGTATGTGTGGCCGACGCACAATTAATGACCCCCCCCCATAGGGGAGAGGAGGGGGGATACGATAGGAATTTCGAGAAAACTACATCCTCGGTTTACCTTTCAATTGTGAATAATTATTTATACAGACCATTATCGTGGTGCCCTGTTACTTTTTTTTAAAATCCCAGCACTAATAATGTACATTGTATACGTTTTTAGGGAAATAAATAAAAAAATGCCTCTATGCCGCTGTTCTAAGGCTCAACTATGACTGGGAAAAAAAATACATTTATAAATTTCACAGACAATTTGCTCTATTATATAGCCACTTATTATGCTCGTGAATGATAGCAAGCAAAGGGGCACACGTTAGCACAGCTAAACCTTTATGGCAATAGATGGTGCCTTTAAATTACCTCGGGTAAAAAAAAAAACCCTTTTGTGAACGCGTGACAAGGGAAACTTCAGAGTTAATTGCAGAAGGCATTTTCAGCAGCGGGCTTGCACACATACAGGCTTGTAACGAGAATTGCTGTAATTATAATCGCGTATTTGCATATTTCCGAGCTGTGATTATGCTCTGGGCTGCCGTCCAAGTCTCACTGCGAGCCTGGAAAGTTAAACCTCCGGGGATCATAAGGGACCCTTTTTTTCTTCTTCTTCTTCTCCTCTGCGAGGCCTGCACGAGTGAAAACAAACATAGCATGTAATTGTGAACAACAGCGAACCGCGTGAAATTTTACCGTCCGCACTACAATTTGCGACCAGCAGTGAGCGTGTAGCGAACTTGTCATCTTGAAAGGGCCGTCCAGATTATTGGCCCTGCCTCGTTCAAAGAGATCAGTCTTTCGGCTTTATGTTTCGTTTTTTTTAAAGCTGCTCGCTGAAGTGCCCTGTCACTATTGCAATCAGCAAGGGGGGGGGGGGGGGGTAGAAGGAGGGGGTGCCCTGTTATCATAATTCTGCTGCGTGTCCCTTCGCTCCGTCTCACACTAACGCTCATTTTGCCACGGGGGAAGGACACACGTGATATCGGACTGCGCGCGATCGTTACCCTGCGGTTATGTTCGAAACGAGCCAACTGCGGGCGCCGGTATAACATCTGGCAGCGAGTCGTGTCCCACGCAAAGCACGAGGGCTGACTTTAGCAGCAGCAGCAGCAGCAACGAGAGGGGGGAAAAAAGAGCTTGAACCGCTTGTCATTATGAGTCGTTTGAGCGTCTCTGGAATATTTACTGTGGCTCAGCTGGTGAGAGTGGCAGGGCATCCAACGGCAGTTTGAAACACAGCCTGGGTTGACACCGCCAATAATAGTCATCAATGTCATCATCATCTCTGTGGTGAGGATATAAATGAATAGCACGCAGCAGGCACCACTTGCTTCTAAGTCAATGTGATATATTAATAAACACGTACAACCTTTTTTGTCAACCCACTGCTGGATAAGGACCTCCCCCACACTATGTGGGTCATAGGAGTTATTTGACCATAGTTCAGCAAGGGAGTGTATACGTATGTAGGGGAGCATAGAAGTACAGTAGAACACTCGACCTTGCTTCACTGCACCCTGCTGCCCACCACATTGCCCTGTGGCACTATGACAACCTTGATGTGCATGGGGATCACCTATAAAAGCGCTACGAGTTCAGTTGCATTCTTGGAAACGTGGTCATCAAATATTAACAGCATCTCCAGAACCTAGGTCCAAACAAGTGCGTCTTTATAATTACACAATTATAGTATAATCAATACAACAAATTAATTGCAGAATATTTGTTGCACTTAACTACCAGGTCAAATTGCATTACATTACCAGAACAGGTATTACATTACAAATACATGAATACATTAAAATTGAAGAGATGTTAAAAAATAAAATCCTTGCTGTAAGAATATGGAATGGTTCCCAATTATTCCTGGGCAAACAAAAAGTGCTGTGTACCACTCATTACCTTGCAGATTAATTAGTTCTTTAAAATTTTAAATGCAAATTGATTTGAAGGAGGGCTTTTTTTACATTTGAAAAAAAAAGTTGCAACTCCGAATCATTTACTTTTTCCACGGAGTATTGTGCCCTCAGGGTGACTTTAAATCTCCATAAATTCACCCACCATTGTTATACCTATTATAAAGGTGAAAATAAACAAAGCAAAGTTCATTTATACACCCTGTGCGCAGGCTAAGACCCATTTAACCGTGTTGCAGAGACACAGGGTAAGCTATTTATCGTGTAGGGCTGCAGGCCTGTCATCCTCTTCGGCATGCTGTCAATAATGTCCGACAGCAGAGAGCTTGTGGAGCCTTACCTCGGGTTTTTGGGGTTCCCACTGGGAAATCTCTGTGTCTTCCTCTCCATCTCTCCGCCCCCCCCACCCTCCCCCCCTCCCCTCTCTCCGGGCCACGCTGACCTATTCCAACCAGGTATGCCCAGGCACCGAACCCCAACTGCCCAGTAGAGTAGTTCAATCGATAAATCAATAATTTAATTAAATTCCATATTTATAACCAGGTGACAGGCAATTGAGACTAGGCTCTGCCGCAAGGGAGACGTGGCAGAAAATGGGAAAAAAATCCCAAAGTTTCAAAAGAGTAAACAAAAAAATTGGCAGCAGGTCCTCACGTGAAAAAAGGGGTCCTCAAGTGTAGCAGGTTTATGGTCTCAAGCCCAGACACCACTGAGTGCACACACACACACAACAAAAAGAACATCATAATAAATAATATACACATTTCTTAATTTGGCCAAAAATCAAGCTGAGATTTAAAATGTACGTTTGATTGACATGCAATGAACACTCCTTTGCGGGAAATTAAGGGTTGTGTCCTTCACGTGGCTAGAGAGGCCCATTTGAAGTTACGTCAGCAATGGTCCTGTGGCATCATCTTCCAGGTGCTGTTCTAAAAAAGAGATGTAAGATGTCATCAACTAATCTTGGCCAGTGAATGCCTCAGCCCTTTCATAGATGCTAGTGGTTAAACGTGTCCAGTTATTGCTCATCCATCGACTAGTTATGATTATCGTAGATGCTGGTAGTTAATCTTGCCCAGAGCATTGCTCAGCAGATTCTCGGTGGCACGGGGAGCCCCAACAACTGTCTCTCTCTCATGCCCCCTGGGAAAGTCTCTGAGAACGCATTGGGAATCGCTTAAAAATATATAAACCTAAACCGCCGCCACCACCTTCACCACCACACCCGCGCTAGATCACACCACCGCTCACTCTGGGTTCCCAAATGTCCAGCCAGTGATCAATATTGACCGCACTGAACCCAAGCGTGAAAATGTTTCACAGTCGCTTTTGCAGAAATGTCATGAAACCCATACACTGACAGTGGCACAAGCAGGTTTTATTATTTTTTGTTGGTCTTGTTTTCGCACGCGATGAACATGATACATTTGGTGTAACTATAATGCATTGCTTATAATTTCATAAGCGCCCCAGCAGCTTATAAGCAGTTTCTCTGAAAAAAAAGTCAATTATTTGTTTGATTGAGAACATAAAAGAGAAATATGTGACTGTTCTGCCCGAGAAACAAAGCTGTAGCATATTTGGAGGTGAGCTTGGCATTATTAATTTGGAGCGAAATGGAAGTGGCTGGGGTGGCTCAAAGGTCACAGCAGGGAATTGCTGAGTTCCTGCGTGCAAATCCATGTTGAGTTGATAGTCTCAGCCCAGTAGTAAACGACTGCCCACCAAAAAAATGAAAATGTGCTTTTACCCTGAATTTGACGAATTTTCAGCTCTGATCATTAAACCAAATATTTATAAATCTGTTTGACCGTCATACAACAAGCTCGTTGGCGAGTCTTGTGGCAGAGTATACCCCCTACTCTGTAGAAGGTAAATAAGCCACGTGTGGGACTCTTATTCAAATGCCACAAAAACTCTTATTCAAGAGTCCCACACAAAAACTGATTATTCAAATCCCACGAAAACTGAATTTTTTTTGGTCTCATGAATGGCGGGATGTGCTCTGCGTTGGGAACATTTGAACATAAATGGGGGTGAATAAGACCAGAAATGTCGAAATATCTATAGCAAAATGGAGACCAAATTTAAAATTTTCTTATTTAAATAGGCATCACAATATAAGATTATTAGCATCACTGCCAAGCCAGTGTGCCTCACCTTACCTTCCAAAATCTCATCACCTTGCTGGAACACACAAGAACATAATATGCATTTCCTAATTTATATCCACAACCTTTTACCGGAACTGTGAACATTAAAGCATTTAAAAATGAATAATAAGACAGAATTAACCCCTAGGTAATGCATGAAATTGGACAGATGAAAGTGGTAAATTATCTATATGTTCAGAAATACGATAACCGTACAATAAAAAATTCAACAATTGCAACATAACCAGAGACCCCTTTATAGAGACAGAAAATCACACAAACAGCTATAGCCTGGGGTTATCATTTGAGTATACGGACCGGTAACTATGATAAGGCATTGCTGCAATTCATAACCTGGCTAAACATGGGACTATAATGATGAAACGAAACGCAATATGTACCAAAACTATATCAGGAACAACAGCCACAACAACAAAGATGCAGGGACACAGTACTTTCAGTTCATTTACATTTAGGTATATATTTTTTTGCAAATTATTTTTTCAATTTATCCCCAATGCTTAATCCCGATTGTGCTATCGGCGTCACGTCACGAGAGAAAGCATCCATTGGGATCTCTCGCAGAGCAGTGCAACCCTTCACAGAAGCGGAGATCACGGAGCTACCTTTGAGGTCCCTTCAAGTGACCTCTGGTCCACACACCGTGGAGGGCAGCTTTACCCACTTATTCTGCATATGAGATCATGGTTGGTCGCGTGACAGTCAAATTGATATTTCTTTTATTCCCAAAAACTGCTATTTTGCCACTTTAAGGGCAGAACTAAATGAAATGTTACGGGGTTTTTTTTTGTTACAGTCATTGGTAACCTGGCTGAGACCATCAACTCATTTCGCTCGATGACCCGCTTTAATCGCAGGTGGCTTACCTTGATGTGAACCCAGCGTCTCAGTGGTGCCATCTCAGCACCATGACCTCTGAGCCACCCAGCCACTTAAGATATATTTTAGGCCTAATTCAGATCGGGGTTTCCTGCCAGGCTGAAGCCATACAATGGGGGGGGGGGAGCTAAGTTAAAATTATAGGCTTCCAGATAAAAGTCCGATAAGGATTAAGCTTTTGCGCGTGGTTATTTTAACTCGTTCTATATTTGTATCAAGAATAACAACGTGGTCATTCATCGCGGCAGACGGGTACAGATCTGCTTATGGAAAACTGCCACTCTGGGGCCAATGGGACCGTGAGCCTAACGGCCCAAGCTGTGGAATATTGAATGATCTCCGGCGCAGTCTACGGCCACCCAAGGACCAATCATTTAAAATACAATGTAGCTACATTTACATTGACAACTTCACTAGCACTCCCGCAAAAGGAGAGGTAATAAAAAGGGGCTACATGAAAAGCACGCCGATCGAATGTGAAACACTCCGTTTTGTAATGACCGGAAGCATGTTCACGAGGTGCACAACGCCATTATGCAGGGTTGATTGCATTTCAATCAATTAACACGTGTTTTTTTCACTGAACTATATTATTTCATGTTTTTAACCACACTGTTTATATTTCTCAGTAAATCATGAACCAAAATACAACGCTGTACGTGAGACCGGTTTGAGAAGGGCATTGCTATTGCTATTATATTCGCCAAATAAAATGTAGTCTTCTTAGACTGCTGTGGCAAGTGCAGTTAGCGAGCATCCATGTAGGTCGGCACGGTACAACAAGGCGATTTTATACCGAGTATGTTTGTTTCACCAATATTGATCTTGACCACATTGCAGGAAATACTAATTTTCAGCTGAGCCAATCTAAGGGAGGCACCCACGAATTGCCACTGGCGGGGTGATGGCCTGGAACTGAACCCATCTGCCTTAGATCATAGCACAATGGCAAAATCACTGCCCCGCCACTCCCGACACACACCCAAAGGCAAATGAACAAAATATAGTCAGGGGATTGTTGTGCTTACGTAAGGCGGGGTAAAAGCCTGCGTACACCCATAATTTCTTATCTATTTGGTCATCGTGCTTTATAAAATGGGTACATTATGAACCTTGTAAATATAGACGTTGCAGTTGAAAGAAGCGCATTGTCCATTAAAGTTGAAGCGATAAAAAAACAAAGCACAATTCAAACATTTACTGAAAGTGAACAAACAAAAGCATGAAGAAAAACTTGCCCAAGTGACACAAATGAATTCCGCTGGGCTGACCGTCGCAGCCACAGCTGTACAAATTGTGCGCGCTTGCAATTCTGCCAGCTTAAAAATAGGACCAACCAACACACGCGGGTGGCGGTGGGGGAGGAGGGGGTGAGCGGAGCGGCTCGCGCGGCAGCAGAGGAAGCATCTTGCGGCTCGGCGGAGCCCCGCGAGACGGCGGCTCTTTGACCCCCCCGGGGGCCCGGGTCGCACGAATCAGCCAGAAAGACGGGTGGCGACGATGGTGGCGGCAGTCCTTGAACGACGCCCGACACGTACGCGCACGCACGTGCACGCACGCGCACACACGCACACACACACGCGCATACACGCGCACACACACACACCTGCGCACACACACACGCACACACACACACGCACGCACACACACACGCACACACACGCACGCACACACACGCGCGCACACACGCACACACCTGCGCGCACATACACACACGCGCACACACACGCGCACACACACGCACACACACGCGCGCACACACACGCGCGCACACACACACACCTGCGCACACACGCAGACACGCACACACATACGCACACACACACACCTGCGCACACACGCACACACACGCACACACACCTGCGCACACACGCACACACACGCGCACAAACACACACGCACATACGCACACACACACACACACCTGCGCACACACGCACACACGCACACACACACGCACATACACGCACACACGCACACATACACTCACACACTCTCACGCACACACACAGGCGCTCCCACTCCGCGTTTCCTAAGCTCGTTAGGCTTCGCGCTATTATTGACGCCGCCGTTTCCCAGATTTTCTTCCCGCCCGCTCGTCGCTGCTCCACACAATTGCTTTGGCTGTGTTTATTACACTTGTTTGCGCCGCAGGTGGGCAGGTCGTGAACTTTCTGGGAAAGTGAAGCAAAGGGGGAGGGAGGTGGAGGAGGATGAGGAGGAGGAGGAGGAGGAGGAGGCGATGCAGAGTTCAAAACCAAGGTATTTCCCGCGGCGCGCACGCACGCACGAAGGCTCGACACGCGAGGACACGTGAAGTTGTTGCCACGCCAGCCACGGCTATCCACGGCCGGCCAAGCGATGTCGGCCCCCCCTTTTTACCACCCCCCCCACTAACCCCCCTCCCCCCCCCCCCCCCCACTCTTCGCTTGGCAAATAGTTTACGGGAAATGTGCACGGATTTTAAATAGCGGTTTGAAGCCACGTTGCGGATAGCGCTGCTATGTTGCGTGTGTGCGTGCGTGCGTGCGTGCACGTTGAACTTTATTTCGCACCGTAAGTAGCCGGGCCGTGCTGATCGGAAGTGCGGGGGGAAGAACAACGAACACACGAAATGTAGTAAAGCATCAGCAGCAGCTGCGGTAGTGGCAATTTTGCCATCAGCACAACCACTATAATCAAATTATGATTTATTACGTGCGATTCACATTGTCTGAAGTCCGCGACATGTTCATCATGCCACGACTAGATGAAGGACAATACTTCACCATGCTGGTCAGAGCCGGTTGGAGAAGCCGGGTAGCATAGACACGGGGATTTAGTGCAGTATAACAATGGCTCTTGCCGAACTGGTTTCTGCTGCCCAGAACACAGCACCACAGCAGCTTAAAAGTAAGCCTCGACATTATATTACAATCAATCAAAGACAATGTCATTGTTGCAGGTGATTGATATTGAAAGTGGTAATTCCATGGTACGCTATAACTTGAATGTTTTATGTCTCGCTTTACTTCTTTGAAATAATAATTATCTTTTAGCACTTAAAAAATAAATATATCCGTTGTCACAGGTATATTATCGTGCGCACTGCAAATCCCATCCAGCATTGAAGTCTGATTAGGTTTCACTGCAGAGCAGCGCATTTATGACAGCGTTAAACCATCAGCCATTCCTTGACATCTGCACAACAATTCCATGAGGTTGGACATGAAGTTTAACTAACGTAACCACAACTTCCACATTCTATCCTGAGCTGTACTGGTCAGTAGTGTAGTGTGGTTGGTATTGGCCCAAGTGCAAGTGTAGTATTTATACAATGATTAGGCAGGTTCTATTCCAAATGCCACACATTTATTGAATATCGATAACAACAAAATACTTACCTAGGCCCTCCATTTTAAACAGTTTTAGTAAAAGCACTTCAACAAAGCCATTGGCATAACAATTCTAGATCCACAAAACCATCAAAACACTGACAAACATGTAAGTCCGTTAGTTTAACACGTAGGCTTTTGCGACCAATATTTTTCATAATCAACATTAAAAATTTTGATGTATAGCTTCCGTGACTGCAGGGATTCATATTCTTGGTTCTTTCGGTAAAGTTACGTAGAAGGGAAACAATAAAACAATACAAATATAAAACAATAAAATTCTCACGACGTTTCGACTGCAACACAAGCAATCATCATCAGGTGTGAAAACCACGGCAAGAAAATTTGAAATAAGTGGCGGGTTTTTTTAACGTTAGCACCACGGAGAGCGATTTGGCAGTTATTCGGATGGACAAGTCCATCTATGTTCGGAAAAGAGGAGGGGGGAGACGAAAATAATGGATGCGGTCTGAAAGCCACCATAAGCGGGAACAATCAATTAAGACCCGAAATGGTTTATCAAATCCTTCCAATTATTGCTAAACCAGAATTCATCTTCTCGGTTGGAATTGTCTCTGTGTTTGTATATGTGGATAGCCTCATGAAGGAATCTCTCATGGTAGCCAGATGGCTTGCAGGTAACCTCTGTCTTGGAGAAGTCAATGTCATGTGAGCCTACTGAATTATAACAGTGATCTGCCACGGCCGAGGTGTTGGTCCTACCGTGTTTTAGGTCTGCTTTGCGTTCACGAATGCGGTCCGAGACATGTCGTTTGGTTTCTCCAATGTAACTACTACCACAGAGGTAGCTTAGTTTAATACACGTTTTGTTTCTTCGTTTGTTGAACTTCTTTCGCACCGTAAGTAGCCAACCGTGCTATTCGGAAGTGCAATGGGGAAAGACAACAAACTAAACAGAAAAAGCAGTTCATATAACATGTTTATACAAATATATACATTATGTATGTATGTCAAGGCTAAGTACAGTAACAATACAATATCAACACGTGTATGGTGATATTGCGGCTCAAGATTCTGACTCTTACAAATCGCTTTCATGCAGTGATGTTTCACCGCAAGGGAGACTCCTGCTGAAAACTGCTGGCTCGACCTGCACGCTGCACTAACACACTTACAGGCGATTGCCACTGCAAATGACGAGGGCGCAAGTCTATGTATTACCAGTCCCTTGTAATACGAGGATTGCAATGGGGGTGGGGGGTGGGATGGGTAGGGGTCTCACGTTCAACGTCCCCTCTCTTTGTAGCTGGGCACCTGAACCCTTCAGCTAGTAGGCCTCTGCGCAGTTGCACCTCCTGCACACTCAATGGGTATCCCACTGGTACAGGCATTATTTAAGGAAGGGTGGCAGCCAACAAGCCTTGCTGCTAAGGTAGCCTTGCATAATGCAGTTATCTACTAAATATGAAAACAGGGAGAGTGCTAAGAATGACAATTCCTGACTCAGGAAAGCTCTCCCAGCCTCTTTCTTTGTATGTTGTCGGTAATATCTGATGCATCTCGGCTCTTTTTCCGTTTACATAAATTCATAATGTCGCTACAACATTTTTTTTATTTCTTCCAACTAAGATGCAAAGCATTAAAGCAGATGTGGCTGAAAATCGAGCATGGGTCGCTGGGTTCAAAGCGCAGTGTACTAACCGCTATGCCACCACTCAACCGAAATATGTATGCCAGCGCAAGCATTCATTACTCAAGCGATGCCACACACGAGCAACACCAGGGCACAAGCTGCCCACTGCAATTCCACCTCTCGCTCAGTGAATGGACTCTCCATCTCTACAGCACCGTGGGCTATAAATCCTCGTTGATAGCTGGAGAGCTGGAGAGCTACACCGCTGGGTGAACGGTGGGAAGAGGGCCAGGGCTGGCAAATGTTTAAAATGAGTCCCCAAGTGACTCTCGAGACTCCTTTTTCAGGAGGGTACTGCTTGACACATTTTGACCAAATCCACACTGGGTATTTTGTTGCGCGAGAGAAATGGGGCTGCACGTCCAGGCCTTTGTCGTCAACCCACTGCTGGACGAGGACCTCCCCACGCCGTGTGAGTCAAGGGGGTTATTCTACCACACAGGTGGTGTAGCTGTGTGAGTAGATGTTGCAGCATCGCGCAGTGCAACAATGGACTTTGTCGTATTGTCCTCTGATGCCCAAGCACGTAGCCCCACAGCCACTAACGAGTGTTTTTTTTGCACGTGGGCCGTCAACCATATAATCACGATCCAGGCTCAGCCCTGCTTAGCCGGCGACATCAGACGCATTCTGGGCGATTTGGTCAGGTGAAAATCTGGGGTACCCAGAGAAATTCCACGTGCACACGGGGCGGAAGCCTTCGTAGATATAAACGTGCTTGGTAGCGGATCGAAAACTGCGGAGTGGGAGGACTCAGATATTGGAGGCCAACTGAGTGGGACAAACGCTCATAAGAAGATAAACCAATAAGCCAGCACTGGACTTGCTGCACTGCCTTCCATATTGAAAACTAATTTCTTAAGAACTGCTTTTTGTCTGTTAGTTTGTTGTCCATCCCCCACACCTCTGATTATGACGGTTGGCTACGTACGGTGGGAAATAAGTTAAACATACATACATAAACCTCATAGCCCTGCAGGTGGGTGATTTTCGCACTGAATCACGTGACACCTGAGTGCCCTACTTTTCTCCAGCCAATGCCACTCACATTGTTTCATTGCGGGCACAGCTGCCTTTTTTAATGCCACTGCATCGGAATCATGAGGTCACTTTCACCTTGACAGAGAGGGATTATGTGATGATGTGGGAGCGCCTCGGATGTGCGGCATTCAGAAAGGGCTGTGAATCAAAATAGCAATAATTAGAAAAGTGTCTGTTTACTGCTGGATGAAGCACCCCCTCCCCAAACAAATCGCCATCTCTCACGATCTCACAATACAACAATCCCACACAGGCTGCGCATGCGCCTGATCCCATTGATCCATCTCCGCGGTGGTCGCCCTCTCGGACGTTTTCTACTCCGGTTGCTACGGCGTCAGGGTCACGAGGTCATTTTCTCCGCGGCAGGGAGGGCTTAAGGGATGATGTTGGGGCCCCTGGGATGACCGCTCAAGGCGGTGATGACCAGGATCGGCGTGCGGGAAAGCGTAAATGGCGATGAAGCAAGTGATCATCATCGACAGCGGCATGGCCTATTCGCTGCTCGATGAAGGCCTACCCGAGCCGTTGCCATCGCTCCCGGTCCCGTGATACCGCAGTCCGTCTAGCTCCTGCGGACCTCCGATTTCCAGCACCTCCGATGAGCACGGTTGGCTATACGTACGCACGCACACACACACACACAGACAAGCCGATACCGTCCGCTGCATCATCTCCACAGTAGTCGGCCTCCATGGCGCGTTTGCTCCCTTGGCTGCTGTTCTGTCACCAGGCTCGAGACGGGTGACATTATTCCCTGTCGCGGTGAGGCGTTTCTGCCCAAGCCCACGTTCGGTCAACGTGACGTCTCAGATTTGTAGTCGTTCTCCGATCTACAGACTCCGCTTTTTGTTTCTTGCCGTAATTCCCAGCACGAGATCTTTCCGTACTTCTTTGTGCAATTTAAGATGCATTACTTTTGTTTCCAATGTCTCTGCCAATGTCCATGTTTCGCATCCACATGTTACGGCAGGCTATACGCACTGATTGAAACATTTATCCTCCAGGCACACGCGTGTGCTGCTTTAATGATCAAATTCATTCTTACAAACACACTCAAACCAGCTGTCATCGTCATCTTGATGACAGTTGTACACATATTCCGTGACTGGCTCCAGTCGCATTCCCTCTAACGACGAATTTCCTTTCGTGCAGCAAAAAAAAAAACGTCGCGAACAAGCGACTGCCACCAAAACAATGGGCAAGAGAGGGAAATATTTGGCACGACATTGGAAATTCTGGCGCACCCCGCAGCGGGAGCAATTGGCTTACGTGGTAAAAAGCTTCGCGGGCCTCGTGTTAAAAGTACACACGGATTGCAAGGCCCTTCGCCTGATTGCATTGACCGCTCGCTCGTGGAGAGAGACTGCTCTTGCGTGCAGCTACGCTATACCCCTCACCCGGCTAATCGATGCACAATCGCTGTGCAGCCTGCATCGTACCTTCCAATGCCTCTCTCCCAACGCTCCATTCTTTTCCCTTTCGAATGGCGTTACCGTGGCGGGCCGTGGACATCGCAGCCAGCAAGGCAGAGAGAGAGAGAGTAACATCTGAGAGAGTAATATCGGAGAGAGTAACATCAGAGAGTAACATCAGAGAGAGAGTAACATTGGGCCGTGGAGTTCCAGATTCGAGTGCAGCAGGGGCAGCGTCTACGCGATGGCACTGGGCATAAGAAACCCACGGGAGGGCTTGGAAGATCCAACTGGCTCGAGGAGTCCCGGATTCATTCAAGTAAATTCTGGATGCCCCGAATGTCACCTTGAACTCAGAGCCGAATGATCATCACAAGGCAATTAACATGAAGCGCTCCTTCATCTCTCTGTCTCTGTCTCTATCTTGACTGCAGCTCCCGTCTGTCGTCTCTCTGCATCACCGCATCGCGCGCTTTCAGATGCGATTCCGCGGCCGTCTGGAATGCTCTTCCTTTCGATATTAGGAAGCCACTGGAGCTATGCACTTTTAAATCTAGATTTAAAATGTAATTATTTAGAACTGCTTTTTGTATTTAGTTTGTTGTCCTTCCCCACCGCACCTCCGATTAGTACGGTTGGCTAGGTACGGTGCGAAAGAACTTCAACATACATACACTGTCTCTTGTCCACATCTCTCTCATTTAACTACACCTCTGCCTCATCTGTATCTCGCTTCTCTTCTTGTATCCTATTGCACCTTTTTCGTCCACGCTGTTTTCTCGTCTCACGACACCTCCGGCTCCTGCCGCTATCTCCGTCCCGTCACCACGCTCTGAGTTTGCACCGACAAAACAAAATAAACTACACCTGGGTATCATAATAATTGAGATGAGATGTAAGGCACTTTGAGACGCCTTTGAGATGCTGGGGGGGGGGGGGGGACGCATTAAAGCACCCAAGAAAACGCATTTTAAAAAATATTTTATGGATCAAAACGTGGGGGGCCCACCAAGAAAATGCATTTAGCTCCGGGGCCCCCCAGTGGGCAGCCACCATCACTGCCAGGAACGACCCCACAGCCGTCGCGGCAGAACGGCGTCAGCTCCATTTACCCCCGCTGCCCCAAACTCGACTGACCCTTGCACCCGGGCCTGGATCATTCATCACGCCAGGCACAGCCGTCAACAGTCCCAGCCTCCCTGGGGAAAGCCCACAGCAGCAGCAGCAGCAGCAGCAACTTCAGGCATTCCCTGCAGATCGCTGCACTGATGCTGATGACGATGATGAGCCTTGAGGTGGACCAGGACCTCGACGAGCCCAGCCCACGATGGCCCTGATTAACCAAGGACCAAGAGCTGTCAACAGCCTAATGGTTGCCCCGGCTTCCCAGCGCCGAGGCCTGCCGGACTCGCGTGCCCGCGCCGGCGCATGAACTGCTGCGATGTTGTCTTAGGGTAAGAGGCGAGTGGGCCCTTCGCGTGGGCCACTTCTCTGCGGTTAAAGAGAGATCAGCGGCGGGTCGGCGCGGCACGAGCAAACCGAGCAAAAGGCCTCGGGCCCACTCAAGTTTCCCCAGGTTCAGTGAAATAATTTAAGCGGCAGGGCAATTGGCAACGCCAACAATACGCGCAACGGCGATGATTAGCATCGATCAGCCAATGGGTCGTTCTGATGAGAGTTTGAGAAAAAATTAACTTCGGAGCAGGAGGACCGGGAGAAGGCGAACAAGCGGAGGAAGACGGCGGAACAAACGGCAGCGAGACGACATCACAGAGTGTGGAGGTCACCGCTGGACGGGAGCAATGAGAGAAAGGAAGGAATTGGAGGAAACGGCCGAGACCTTTGCCCCGCAGACTGACCACAACAACTATGTCTTCATCTCTCCTATCTCGCCACATCTGTTATCTCGTCTATACCTCGACTGTCATCGCACTCGGATTTTATAGATTTAAAATAAATTCTGTTTTAGGTCCCCCAATGGGGTTCACGCCAGGCACCCCCCTGACTGAGCGTGTTGTGATGATCTCTTAACCCTGGGCCTCTCTCCAGAGCGGCGAGATCCTCCGTGGGATGTGAAAGGACCGCTTCGCTGTCGCCCTGCGGGTGCATGGATGCCCTTGGAACAGCTGTCCACCCAGCGGGTACAAAGGCGCCCAGAGGATTTACAGTGTTTATTTTCCACGCCGCTATTGCGGTCCGCGGCATCTAGGACAAGTTTGTATTCTCTCTTGCAAACATTTGGGTGTGGAGGGGGGGGGGAGATCACGTCTACAAGTTAGCCGGCCACTAAACACGCCGCCCAGGGGAACACTTGGGTTGTTGTTAACGATATTATTGACCCAATGCAAACTGCGCCACACGGCCCACTGAATGGGTAAATATGCAAATAAAAATTTAAGTAAACAAAAGAGTTTGCGTATTTTTTTGTTTTTGTATTCGGAGTGAATGCAGCAGAGGCTGTGTAACAGCCTGACTTGGCATTGGGGGATGAGTGAACCAAGTGCAGATGGGAGAGAGTGGGTAAGCGGGCGGGAATGCAGTTCTGTTGGTGGGTGTGTGTGTGCGTGCATGCATGTGTGGGGAGCGGTGGCGCAGTGGTTCGCACACTGCGCTTAACTAAACTATGTTTATTTCACCAGGTATGGCCCGCCGAGCTACGGAGATATTTTCAGAAGCGAGCTGGCCACAAATATTCGTTGAAAGATAAAAACCCGGCAACCCGCGCTCGATTCCCGCTCACGGCCAACATCGGCGACACAATGCCTGAACCAGTTCCTGGGCTTCTCCTAGGTCGACTCAGATTGAAATGGGCGCCCTGTGTCGTTGTTGCGAACATCAGCACCAGGGAGACAAAGGCGGCCGGGCGTGGTACTGGCCAAACCAAACCCACCCTCGTGTGTCGCACCGGCTTTAATACGCGCTCGCTAACAGCGCTTGCCCCCAACAGTGTGTGCGAGGGAGGGGGCATCTTTGTCTTTGCGCACGCAACGCGTTGCGCAGCTGCGTGCGGCCCACACAAACAAACGCTGGGCGCACGCGCGCCACAAGACGCTTCCTCCCAGAGGGAGGCGTTAATGAGTACAGGAACCCACCCGCAGTGTATTACTGCTTCCGTGGGGGGGGGGGGGGGGGGGGTGTGCAACAGGGCAGGGTGGAGAGAGGAGGCGGCGGTGGCGAGAGGGGCGGGGGGGTGTCGGTGGAAACAAAACATGTTGTAGAGAGGGTGGAGGGTGGGGAGGCGGGCAAAGAAGAGCAAGGTCGAGAGAGAGGGCACGGGGTGGGGTAGTAGCGCGGTGGTCGGAGTAGTGAGCCGGGCAGTTCTTCTTCACTCATTTTCAGAGGGCGTGGGGTGGGGGCCACTTTCGCCGACAAGACATCATCAGTGTAAGTGAGGGTCGCCGTACATTTGAAAGCATTTGGGGCTAGCATCAGCACGACGACGATGATGATGATGATGATTTCGATGGGGGTGCAGGTCAGGGACTGCCAGTGGCCCGCGGTGGAGTCAGGAATGCGTCTGGAGAGTCACAGAGATGGCGGGAGAGGAGGTGACGGGTGTTCTGGTGATCCAATTGGGGGGTTGAGCTGGGGGGTGCTTGCCTCTCCTTTCTCCACAGTCACCGAGAGTTTTGCCGTTGAGACATTGTGTGACCTCTTGCACTTTCACTTTCGTTTGCAGATTGTCCGCTTGCCAACTGTCGCCAACTATTTAATTGTTTCATCATTTTGCTGCTGCTGCTGCCGCTGCTGCCGCTGATCGTGGTAATGATGATTCTGGTTGCTCATGCATCACTCTTATTGGAACTCGGTCAATTCTTATACTTACTCCAATTCTTATACTTACTCCAATTCTTATACTTACTCCAATTCTTATACTTACTCCAATTCTAATGCGTGCGCAGTCTTTGTACTTGCTCATTACACTTTCACAATTCTCCTAATTCTTCATTTATTATAACTGCTAAATGATTGCACCTTGCTTAAATTTTATATTTGCTGAATTCTTCATACGTAATGCCGAATGAAAGTCTCCCCGCACCGTCTCGGCTATGGGACTTGTTTAACCATACTTCACCGCGCTGGTCAGGGGGGAAATCCAGCACCGATTCAGATATCACTCGTCACTAATTTTAGCCACGGCCAGGAATCAAACTCAGGTCGTCGAGATCCATAGCCCAGCGTACAAACGAGAGCGCCACCGCTCACTGCCCAATTCTTAGACTTTAATTCTCTCCTGAGTTCCTGTACTTGCTCTTTGCTTATAGTTTCTAATTTATTATACTTACAAAAGAAATGCAATAATTCTACTGTACTCACTCCCCCCAAATTATCTGCATTCTTTTAAGTCATTACCGTACTTGGAGGCCTTTTGTGGCATCAATCTGTGACAAGTTGTGAGCACGTGGTAAAATGTTGGTAAAAAAACTGGCAAAACCTTTCAAAGAACATTAAATGCCAGTTTCAATAGAGGGACACTAAAAGTGATAGACACGTGTGAAATTCAAATGTACATGCGCGTTCAGATGAGGGTTTTGCCACCTGTGCTGGTTTGACCCAAACTGACATCTGTATTCGGGTGGCAGAAATTGATTTGTGTGCACCTCCAGTGGCAGTGCGTGGAAGTTCATTGCAGTGCAAGGCAACAGCTGTCCTGATAGACGAGGGGAGTCGGCAACGCTGCAGCTGCGGAGCCGCATGCGACGACTCTTTAAGGACTGCTTCGTGACAGTTATTCATTAAGGACCACCGTCTCGTATTCACCACACAGTGCATTGCGACCTCTTGAAATGCTGAGGTTTTTTTTTTAATACTGATTTCGAAAAGAATGGCTGCTGTTATTTGCGTTGCCGACCTCCTGTGATAGACCTCGGCTGAGTGAGAAATATGTTTGCGTTTGGTCCGCAGATCAGATGGCAACCTTAGTTGGGATGCTTATGGGGCAGGAGTCTTACCCTGTTTACAGACCTGAGCCACTGGTGGAACTTCCACGTTACTATGGTGGTGGCAAGTCTTTCATAGGGCAAACCACTGTTAACTTTCCAAAGTGGTGCCTATTTTATCGACCCCAGAAAGGATGAAGGACTCCATAAAGTGGCGCTGCACAAACCTACCCAGGTCATTCCTAAATAAATTAGTAAATTCATGTACAAAAATATAGCGTGCCTGTAAGAATTCATGTACAAAAATATAGCGTGCCTGTAAGATAATAGGGCACACAGTGCGAGCATCTGCTATAGTTCACTGTACGGACGACGTTATGATCCCTGAACTTGTGTGACACCCTGTATATGTTAACGGTGTCATGACATGCAGGTATTTTTTTATAGAACTGAATGATTTTTAAATATTATGCTCATAATACATTATGCATTATCCCAGTCGACTATTAAAAATAAACAAACTTCTAGCTTTTCAGCCGAGACAACCAAATTGTACTCTTGTATTTTTAGAAAGTATGGACTGCTGGATTCATGTGAAAACAAAATTGGCAAAAATGTTTTGTATATGATGAACACATGGCTTTGATTTGTTACTAACAAACTTGGTAAAGGAACATATTACTTTCTTGTAAGAACAACAACACAAATGCTTAAAATAATACCAACATTTTTTTTTTCCTGCAGTGTGCGTTGCTTAACGTTGTACGTAATCAGTAGCTCTTTCTCCAAATTAACTTTGCTCGAAAGGGAAAACCCACCGCCAAGCGAAATGTGTTTCCACTGCGGGATCGGTTCCTGTACATCGGAGAATTAAGTGCGCTCAAACTAGCAAACAAAAAAGTCACGGACTATTAACAAAAAAAGCCAAGACACAGTTTATAAGAATTCAAACGGCCGGCGTAATTTTTCAAAAGTCCAAGCATTTTATGGAATAACTTAGTTTCCAGTATATCTCTGTGTTCAATTTTGTTCGTAACCATAGCCAGTGCCGTGGCGTGGCCACTGCACTCATAGGGACCCACAGCCGCACGTGGACACCTTTAGGTTTGCGTAGAGACCCATGTGTTCACACTCGATAGACTTAACACGTAGGCAGGCTTTCGCGACCAATATTACGAGCAAGGAATTGGCACGTTTTGTTTACGTGTTCAAACGTTACTAATTGGCTGTCTCGGGTGGTGGTGGGTTTAACGACACGTTTATATTTACGCTATGTAACCCAAGAGAAGAAAAAAAACCTCGATAATGGACAGCAGAATTACGCAGACTCATAGACTGAGCACACCATGGCACAGCCATCCGGTGTGCAGGTGGCGCAAACGCAGCAGGCCACACAGACCCGAGAGCGCTCGGCTAGGAAGCGCTGTGGGGGAGGGGGGGGGGAAGAGGGGGGGGGGGGTTGAATCGGATAGGCACGGTGCCCCATTTCATTCCTCGCACCAGGGCCCATGCCAACCACCCCAACCACGCAATGCCGCTGCGTCACTTGAGCTCAGTGTCAACGACAAAGAAGCGCCGAGGCTTAGCTCACGGCTGTGCTGATGAACTACACCGCAGAGCCAATCGCCGTGCCCTCCGCTTTGTTTTCACTTTCATGAGCGCGCCGCCGCCGACGACAATGCCATCATCGCTAAACGCTCATTGCTCTTCCACCTCCACCGGCCTATCCGCTTGGGTGATGTTGAAGGAGCAAGTCTTACCCCGGTTGGATGAGCCGCACCAGTCAGCCTAGCCAAGGGCTCCATCCTGGCTGGGTTGAGGTCACCCTTAACCGAGTCTGACCACGTACGCATGGGTGACCCTGTGCACTCTTCGTGACCTCTTTTTTTCGCTCTCATAACTCTCCCGGGCAGCTTATCTGGCAGGCAATGCCAGTGCCATTGTCAGGGCCGTGCGGTAAGAACAATGTAAACATATAAGAAGCTGCGCAGACAAAATTGGTGGCCCAAAAGCAGAAATTATTAAACTACAAACATGATATTCTGCATGAATTTTCAAAAGTAATCACTGAATTGTATTACAATTGTGGTGAAATAATTAAGTTTACATATTTCGAATTATTTTAGGAATGATATGGGAACGATGAGACATTTTTTTCTCATTCGGATTATTTTGTTATTAATTTTGGAGTAGAAAAAAACTACTTGGGTCTCGAAGCTTTGCTTAGTTTGTGTATCCCTGCACGTAAGGGGGCTTAGTAAGTGTGCGTATCCTTGGAACTATTTAGTGCCCTCATACGTCGCTCATGCCGAGCCCCTACCGCTTCATGAATTACGCGCAGCTTGAGCTACTTGGGGTTTCCCTACGCTTTTGCTTCGCTTGCGCGTCCCTCCCTTGCGCCCACTATACTTCGTGTGACTGTATCGGTTTCGTGAATTGGGGGCCTCCGACGCAGCTTAGTTACCCGAGTGTTTACTTAGCTTCCCTATTTTACTACTCCTAGTGCCCACCACCGGTGCACTCAGAGGGTGGGTAGAGTGAGGGCTTCATGAGGGCGAGTGGGTGAGCGGCCGGGCGGCCGGGCGGGCTGGGGGAACATTTGCCGGGTGTC